GGGGGGGCTGCTCCTCCATTGGGGGAGGGGGGGAGGGGAGAGGCTGAGCGGGGCCGGGCCGGGCTGGGCGCTCTCTCGCTGCTGGGCCGTGCGGCGGAGCGGGGACGCGGCTCCGGGTGGCGCGGGGGAGGAGGGGGGGATGGGGGGGAGGGCTGGGAGAAGCAGCGCTGCAATCAGAGAGCGGCTCCGCCCCGCACCACGCCCCGCGGCGACACGGCGCGGCGGAACGGGAAGCCGAGAGCCGGGAGAGGGGAGGGTCTGTGGGGAGCGGGAGGGAGGAGGAGGGACGGGGGGGGGCCGGGGGGGGGGGGGAGCGGTGCGATGCGAGCGGAGCCGCTTCTGGGCGATTCCCGAAGAAACGTGGGAGGTTTGGGGGGAAGGCGAGGAAGAAGGCAGCGAGCGGAGCGGGGCGGGGAAGGGAGCGATGAGAGTGGGCGAGTGGGCGCTTCCCGACGGCTGCCGTCGCGGAATCGCGGCGTGACCCCGCTCCGGAGCGACCCCGAGGACCGGCTCTGCGCAGCGCCGCCCTCCTTCGCCTCCCTTTGCGGCTCCATCCCGCGCAGCCCGCTGACGTCTGCGGCCGTCTGAGCCCACGGTGGGACGTTCCCGTCTGGGTTACCGAGCCCTGGGGTTTGGGGCGGTTCGTCTGCGCTCAGCACAGCGATCCCAACCTTTATCCGCGCCCCGATGCTGCCCTCCACGTCCTCGTGGACACCCGACAGGGCGGTGGGATTTGGGGTGAGGAAATGGGGCAGGGAGTAGGGATGAGGAGTTCCCAGAGGGACACACTTGGGATGGAGAGACCCAAAAGTGAGCCCACGTTTTGGCTGGGTCAGATGGAAAGCCCCATGCAGGCAGCGCTCAGTGAGGTTTTACCTCCTGCAGCAAATAGAGGCAAGAAAACAGGGTGATCGAATTAAAGCCCGTCGTGTCATCCTCCAAAAAAGTACACAGAGTGCTCAGACTGTCCTCACACACCACGTCCTACCTTCTCAGGGCTTGCACAGAACACCCCCATATAAATACTCACTATTTCAATAAAGCAAAAAGAAAAAGCGGCAGTGCCCAGAGAGCCCTTCAGCCCTCAGCCTGCATCACACACAGCCCTCCCCACACCTCCCTGCAGCACAGGGTCATCCTCCTGCCTAACCCCCCCCACACACAAGGCAAAACTTCCTGCTGCGCTGACTTGGTGACCTCACATCACTTAGGAGATGGCTCCCGAAGCAAGGAGCCAGGCTTTAATCGCAGCTCACATTTTATTGGTGGCTTGGAAGCGTTTATTTTTAATATAAGGGACTGGTTTGAAGACAGACGCTTCAAAGGACTCTGGAGAAAGCAAACAATTACGGACAAATCATCTCCACACACAGAGACACCAGAAATCTAAATGCAAAGGGCAGAGGGCTGTCTGTACAGGAAGATGAAGCAACTGTTTCTCTCCTTAGAAGCACCGGTTGTGTGTGCATCCCAAAGCAGGCAAAACCAGATGAAAACAGACATAAAAATCCAGCAGCTCACAGCCCAGGGCTCTCCGTGCTGAGCTGCACGGCCAGGGACGCAGCACAGAGATGCACTGAGGGCACGGTGAGTCCCAGCACTGCGTGTTTGGGATGTGCAGCTCACCGCCTGCTCTCACATTGCCCACTGCTGGAGCACGCTGTGTTCTCCCATCAGGCTGACAGCAAGCAGCACTGCATTGTGCAGCAGTTTGGGATGTGTTCTATGGGAAACTTGCAAACCTCTCTGCCTGCAGTGAGGCTCCTCCCTGCTGCTCTGAGCTTGGCACATCAGTAAGCTGTCCTGCAAAGGAAAGAGGAAATTTTCCTTGGAACTCCACTCCTGTGGCTGAGCGTTCCCACAGTGAGCGCACAGCTGGGCACAGCCATCATTTCCAGTTCTGTCACTCCAAAGGTGATTTTCCAAAGCTCTGGAGCGCGGGGCTGTGCAGGGAATGCCATTCATAGCTGAGGGCAGCGAGGAATAAATCAGCTGCCATGGAAATCAGGAGGAAGTTCTCGTGGAGGTGAGGGGAGTTTTGAAGGCGTGTGAAGATGCAGTTGAACTTTAAAGCTTGTTCCAATGATCTGTAAGAAGAATTTCTAAGAAGAATTTCCTCTCGAAGGCCTTTTTACGACACCACATTTGATTTGCATCGAATGTTCAGGGCGAGCTGAAGCTAAAATTAGGAAATTCATCCGTGGAAAGGAAAACATCTCTTCATCCAGGGAAAGGAAAGGAGTTCTTGTGTCCACCTCCCGTTTAAGGCTCAGCACTGAGAAGCAGCCCAGTTACTGCGTGTGCAAACAGTGGGAAAGGTGACTCCACAAAACCCAGCTCTTGGGATCCTCCCTGCCCTGCACGTCACATGCAGCAGGTGATACTGGGCTGAGCTGCTTTATAGGATGAACACAGAGGGAGCAGCACAAACCCATGGAGCTCCTTTAGGAGCAGAGCACACAGGCTGCTGCTGGCAGTGGACTTTGACCTCTGGAAGATAAAAGGGAAAAGCTCAATCCACAAATCCCAAGGACTTTGCATCTCGTTACACAACACAGCAGTCACGTGGGTGCTGGTCATTGGTTTGGTCGTTGCACACTGCTTATTTTGAAGCAGGGACTTTGTAAAGAGAAATATGCACTGGGTATGTATGCATCTAGCATGTAGAAGCTGCAATAGTCGTGCTTGCACACATGGTCTTCAACCTAAACATGCCTGGCCCTGGCAGAACTCAAACCTGGCAGGTAATTATTGGAGTTCTTATGTTCATGATGTGGTCCAGAACAATCGGGGTTGACTACGAGAATAAGAATTGAAAGGAGCCTTTTTTGGGAGCAAAATTAAGGAGTGGGAGGAAGTGAACCAGAAAGTGTGCAGTGAAGGTATTGCAGGAGGCACAGCAGTGTGAGAACCTCTGCTCACCTTATCTCCAGTTGTTGGAACACGAAGGGTGGGCAAATAGCAAATTAAATGATAAGCAGCCACCACGCAGGGCTCTGCATGAAGCACAGAGTTCACAGGCATTCGGAGCGAGGCGTTGTTAGTGTTCTCAAAGGACGGGCATCATTCAGCTGAAAGTCAATATGAACATCTACGAGCTGAGCTTTCAGAAGGATGATTGTCCACTGCTCTCAGAGCACAGCCCAGCGTCCACCTCTTGGGGCTCAGGGGAGATTCCTGCAAGGTGCTCAGCACCTGGAAGCCAAGGGAGCGAGGGGCTGCGCTTACCCATAATAACCCCATCTGAGAGCAGCTGACTGAGACAGCCATGGCTGTGCCTGGGCAGGGAGGGGATCAGGAGGGGCAGAGAACAGCCACGACTTGCAGGCCAAGCAATAGTCGCTGCACAGCAGGTTCACCGTGGGCTTCCTGCATCCCCAGCTTACCGGATCTGTGCTCCAGTTTACAAGAGGTGCTTTGGTTATTGTGTGACACAAGACACGGTAAGAAGCTCGCTCTGACCTCATCTTTTGCCCTACTTCCTTATCTTGGAATCTGATGCACAGTGCCATACTTGTTCTCCCACATAGTTTCCTTCAGTGCCCTCCTCGTGAGGACGGAATCACAGAGCGTTGCTTCGTGGGGCAGCTGCACAGCTCCCCAGGTGGGGATGCACTTCAAAAGTGCTCCTTCAGCTGTCTCCCTTAAAGGCAAACTACACTAACAGGGAGTGCACACCTGGAGCTGAACCAGAATCCTGGATGTGAGACCCCCACTCAGCTGGAAAGCGGCCCAGGGCTTCACACACCAAGACCAGTCAGCAGCGCTCTGCGTTACACTGCTCAGACTGCAGCAGAGCTCCTGGCTGCCCCAGGAAAGGATGTGAGCAATCCCTGACAAACTGCCTCTGATTCACTGAGGAACGACATACCAAAAATCATTGCAGATAAAAAAAATGCTAAGCGTGGCTTCACTGATAATTTATCTAATGGCTGGGAAGAATGGGGTAATAGAAGGGAGACGAGAGAGAACAGCACTACATTGCTATGGAAACCAGGATTTTCAAAATAAATACCTTTGCAGAACTGAGGTTGCAGATCTAAAATAATCCATGGCGTCTCTGATGTTTCCTCCCTTTGCCATGAGACCCTTCCAGGCTGAGCAGCCTCTGCCTGCTGCAGAGATCAGCCTGCAGTGACATAGGATATCCCACGGCTCATGTTCCTTATTCCACTCCTGGGCCTTGAATAGAAACCACAGCGTTTGGTTTGTTCCTGTATTTTTGGGGCTTGCAGACTGGCGAGGTTGGTGCAGAATGAGCCCATGAGCACCTGCAGGGAAAGGTGTTGTTTTTGTCCCAGTACATTGGGACATTCCTCGGTGACCCGAGACAGTACAATACATACAGCAAACCTTTGTGAAGCTCTGCTTCCCTTACACCCTAGGAAGCTCCTTACCCCACCAGTGACCCCAAAGCAATTACCATTGGGCCTTTTGCTCCCTGTTAGCCCCGTTTCAGCTGCTGACATCCCCGATGGCGTTTGGGCAAAAGGACACCGTGCCCCACACCTCCCACACCGCCTCGCTGCTGCTGCAAACAAGTCTGGGCTCCGGCAGTGCTGACTCACGGTGCTGAGGCTATGGGAAATATTTGCTTAAAGAAGCAAAGCCAGGCAGGTTTCCTGCCCCTCCTTATCTGCGAGCCCCTCGTACGGCAAAGCTGGAATGGGGCCCTGCTTCCTGAGAGGGGGCACGGAGCGGGTGCTTGTTTCCTAAAGATAGCCCAGGTTCCTCTCGGCTCCTCGGGGTAAAGCCCCCAGCGCTCGCAACCACAGCTCTACGACTGCAGAGAGACGAACGGCTGCCGGGTGGGCTGCCCTGATACAGCATCGCCCACCGCAGCGCATTCCCCGCCCCTCCGTGGGCACAGAACCCGCTCTTCCCCACAGCTTTCCCCGAGCTGCGGCTTCGCTCCGACCGCTGCCTTCAGCGCAGCTGAGTCAGTGCAGACGGCAGCGATCGCTGTTTGCTTTGGGAGGGTTTGCCACGCACCGGGACGCGGGCAGGCAGCGCCGGTGCAAGGGATGGTTTGGTGTGGGCATGTCAGCACAGCGAGCTGGGAGCCGAGCCCGCCCGGAGCTCTAGGGACAGCAGTGGGGAGCTGTGCTGTCGGACCGGAGCCGCTCTGGGTGCTGTGCCTGTGTCAGCGCGCTGCTGTGCCTCAGCTAGGAGCCGCATTCGAGCCACGCGCCAAGCTGACCGCCCAGCGCATCCACAGCTCGCCTCCCCCTGGGAAATGGCCTCCTGTCGGCAGTGAGCATTTAGGGAAACAACCACAGCTGATGCCCACGCCGTTCACGTGGCAAATGACTTCAGAAACCCTCAGCAGCGAGGAGACTTTATGAGGGGTGGGACAGGCGAGTCGCTGAGCTGCCTCCTCCTCCCTGGACCTACGCAATTCATTTGCAAAGAAGCAGAGGGTGACGAGCTCCGTTTGCAAGCTGGGCAGGGCTGCCCAGGGAGCAGCTGTGGCAGGGCAGGCTGCTGGCAGAGCTGGGTTGCAGAGCTCAGAATGACTGTGCTAAAGGTCTGGGTAACGAGCCGGCAGGAGCTGCCACAGCCATCCAGCACCAACCGACAGTGCAAGTCGCCTTTCCACCGCTCTCTCTTATCTTCCTAGGCAGGTGAATATAAATCTTTACAGTGCAGCACAATGCTGGAAGAGCGAGTTGGGCTGAAGACCTATAAACACCCCCTGGGCTCGCTTCTATCAGCTGGAACCTGATGTGGAAACGTTCCTTGAGTTCATGCCCTTGGATTATACTAAAAAAGGCAAAGTCCTGCTGCACCTCGAGGACACCTAGTGCTGGAGCGAGAGAACAGAGGGCAGCTACGGAACAGGAGAAGTGTGCTGATGAGCCCAGGTGCTGGGTCAGCAAGACAAAAGCAATATATTTAGGTATCTGTGAGGCATGATCAGAAGATCACATGCAATGCCTCAACTCTTAACCCCCCATTCAAACTGGCTTTGATATAAAACACCGCTCACCAAAGCGATGTCCCCTGGCAGGCTCATCGCACTGGGGTTTCTTGCACCTCTTATCCCTATCAGAGACTGCAAATGGGCAGAGGGAACAGATGCAGCTGTCCCTTGGCCACTGCGTGCCCCAGCGCATGGCTTTCACTCTCTTGTGCCTCTGCCCCTATCACAAATGTCTTTTATAATGCAGGGAGAGCAAAGAGCTACCATAAAACAGAGACAGCTGACATCAGCAGCAGGCTGCTCCTTGCAGACCGCAGCTGTTAGGCGATGGTAGCACAGACTGAGGAGGGAGCGAGGTCATCCCAGGACAGGTGAACTAAGAAGTTAAGGAACTATTAGGTCATGCCCCATACATAGCAAGCAGCTTATCATGATGGGGAAGCAGCCTTTGTTTTTAGATTAATCACTTCAAGGATGCTGGCTTCCATCTTGCACTTCCTTTTTATCAGCGCTTTGTTTTAAGAAGCTATAAACCAGAGGTAGGGACACAGCTAGAGAGAACTGCAGCCAGACCACCACGTGTCACAGGGCACGAATTGAGGCCACAGCCCAAAACAACGCTGCAAACAAAGCCAGCACAGCCTCCCACCCCCCCCTGCGCATTAACTGCACCTGTATTTTATTTCATGTATCAGCTCTGTGCTGCACAGCCTGGGAGAACCCATCTGAGCTGCGATGTGCTGCACCAGGCTGCCAAGCAAAGCGTTCACACGTCAGCAGAAGCCACGTTACCCCCAGAGGCACAGGGCTGTGTTCAATACCTAGAAGGATGGAGAATGCAAGGCACAGCACTGCGTTCTGCAGATTGCAGCCGCAGCCAGCAGCCCTGCGGTGTGCTTTTCTGCTGCTTCTGGCTGACTAGTGGATGACAGGGGCTCTGTGAACACCCCTCACCTTGCCTGTGCTGAACACTGCTGGGACTGCTCTGCTGACATGCAGATGGCCACCACACCTACAGGCTGGAGGGGCCTCCAGCACCATTGGGCTGCACTGCTGCAAGGGTTCTGCTGGCTTCAACAGCGCCGTCAGAAACATCTGCCCATGCCACAAAATGTTCTTTCTTACTGGCAGCTTATTTTCTCTCCCTTTAGTTTGAGAGAACTGAACTCTGGTGCTGTTACCCTGTCTATGGTGCTTCCTCAAAGAGAACCTGTGGATCTCTGCCCTCCATCCACAACGTCGTTACAGCGACGTTGGCTCAGCGTGAAGATCAGATCATAAATGCAGAACAGCTGCTTAAGCAGAACGTAGGAAAGAAGCAGGGATGTTGCTGGGCAGAGAAAAGCACTGCTACAGCTCACAGATAGCCTCTTTTCTCCAAAGGCACATGCGCACTGCATCGCTCAGTCACATTTCTCTCCAGCTTCCTGGTAGCAGCATCAGCGTGTTCAGTCACCTCTGACTGCTGCAGGACTCTGTCCCCATCTGACAGCAATGACCTGGCCTCAGGTTTTCACCCTTTTGTCACCTCCTCCCTCCCTTTCAGCCCCATAAAATCACTAGACATGAAAGCTGCAGCACAAAGGAAATCCTTGGCAGCACCGCCTGCTGCAGCGCAGCTCCCTCGGCAGCACAGGCGGCTGCAGGCAAGGCAAACCTCTCCTAACCTACATTTGATTCCCGTAGCATTGCAAATCAGGCTCTGCCAAACCTGGCTGAGGCTCCTCTCCGCAGCCAGACTCGCACATACAACAGATTGAAGGGCCTGAGGACGGTGGGAGCAGCTTTTCTCCTTGTTTACCAGCTCCACCTGCACTGAAGGCAGCAGTGCTCCCATATCACAATTACCTTGAAGAAAGGAGCTGACCTGCCAGCTATTTTTAGTGGTGCTGTGAAGTTGTGAAGCTATTTTGCTCACATCTCCGCACGGTGAGCTGCAGGACGCTGACAGCTCTGTGTTTGCCTGGGGCAGCGGGGCTTTAGCTGTGAACGGTGTGTGACTTTGCACTAAGGCCTCTCTGCCCTTTCTGTGCCTTAAGAATCTTTATACTGAGATTTTTCTTTCTAATCGTTTTGGGAACAAGCAGCACAACTTCCTGAACTCCGCAGGGATCCCTTTTGGGGCCTCGTGTTGTTGTCCTCCTCTGGCCTGCACGGCTTCCAAGGCTGCAGAAGGTGCTATTGATACTGTGGGAGCCCTCACTCCCATTCGCCTTACTCACCGGGAGGCTAAAGGTGCAATTAGGAGTCCAGAAAGATTTTATCCATCTTTTGCAACAGACCTGTGCAGGAGATCAATACGCATTAAGCCAGCACCTGCTGAGAAACCAGCACGTGTGATTCTGCAGAGGCAGAAGGGAGAGCAGAGAGGAACCGCTCGCACAGCAACGCGCTGTTCTGGATGCAGATTAGTGCCTGGGTACGTCCAGGGCAGCAGGCAGAAGGTCCTGGTCTAGACAGTTGTTTTCTCTGCAGAGCCGAAGGGTTGCTGCCAAGTTTGCTGGGGCTGTAGCAGGTGCAAAGCCCAGGCAGATCAGAAGCCAAAGCAACTGGATTTAACAGAACGAAACCCACATACAAAAGGAAGCTTGAAGAATAGGAAAGATGAGGCTAACAAAAGGAGAGAAAAGTAAAAATGGGAACTGGTGTGTTCAGACAGGGATGGGTGAGTCAGACACATCAAGGAGGAGCAAGTGAGTAAACATGTATGTGAGTTTTTCAACAGCTGTCAGTCGTCCCTCCTCAGAAAGCTCCTCTCAGGACTGCTGCTGTCTCCAGATAGAGCACGTGCCTTCCCAGCTCTCTTCAAACAGACACTTTAACACCACAAGCTTCCCACACAGTGAGAGGAACCAGGATGTCCTCAGCCCCAAGTCCAGCTCATGTCTTCTTTTTCCCTCCCTGACTTTCTTCCAGAGGCTCTGCAAGACTTCTCCCACCCAAGCCCACAGCCTGCTCCTAAGGTGCGCTGCTCCTTCCCCCAGTGGATGCAACAAGCACCTGGCTTCTGAATAACACAGCCCACATCTCTCCTCCAGTGCAGGACCAGCACCCACTGATGGCACAGACTGTCCCAAATGCTTTCAAACAAAGACCTGATTGATTTCAATGCCTTGCAGGATGAGGTGTTTTAACTCATCTGGTCTTGGACAAACGTTAATGGTTTGTGTGTGTTATAACCTTCTGAAATCAGCTGGCCGTTAACTAATAAAATGTTGTGCAATGTGCATTAGGGGGAGTTTAGTAAGAAATCCACTTGTTTTTTGTGAATACGTAGAGATGGCATAGCCAGAATAATGGCATTTAATACATTGTTATTTGGTCAGGACTGCTGCAGACTCAGATGAGTCCAGCAGCTGCCTGTCAAGACGTGTTGGGTCAGAAAGCTCAGTGAAGAGTTCTGCCTGTAGTTCACTCCTTTGAACAGTTTATCTGCCTATCTTCTGCTTTACCACTAGTATCGTCACTCCTGCCCAATAATTATTTAATGAAGATTTCATATTGCCATCTCCACACTGCAGGATGGGAAATGCACTTGAAGTACGCCTTCACCTGTTCTGTTCTCTCGTATGGAAGCAGCAGACACACAGCAACAAACCGCAGGCTGCTCACAGCCAGAGATCGTCCAGCAATGGTGCCGTTCAGCCACGGCACACAACGCCTTCTGCTGACAAGTGCAATTGGTCAGGTCTCCTCTAGGGAGTGCAGTCGTAAAGGGAGAAGAGGAAACTGCAGCACAAAAGCCAGCTGGTAACGTGTGACTCAGGATATTGGCACAGTCACAAATGGTGTCTGCCCATTTCATGTCGAAAACGGAGAGCAGTGGTGAGGGCTGAGCCGGAGGTAAGAGCGGGATGTCACTGGATGCCCCCGGTAA